TGCAGGACTGGCCTAGGGTAATTTTTAGGGGGGTTTTAATTCTAATTATATTTTAAAATTCGACAAATATTTAAATATTCCTTTTAATTAATTTTAAATTTGTATTGTTTTGTATGTATTTTAAATAGATTGTCAGCCGCCCTGAGTCCTACGGGAGAAGGGCGGGATATAAATCCAAAAAATAAATAAATAAATAAATTCATTATATAATTTCTACTGACAGTTATACAAAGTTTAACAGCAAACCAATTGCTACTAAAACGGCTCTATTCATAAAATATCTTCTTTAGTATCACACTTACTTTGGTCATTTATATTTAGCTATAACTTCTACAAGTCTTTCCTGAATTAAGCCTTTCCCATAGCATGTGTGGAATGTTATTTTGCTAAATAAGCCCTATGCTTGCTCTCAAAAATTAAAATTAAAATTTTATTGGGGATTTGTGCTTTATTATGATCCAATCCAAAAGGGGATAAACATGAATAAAAAAATATGTTCCCTTATTTATCTGAAATGGCATTGGTGACCTTCAAATGACAGTAGCTACAAAAATCCACGGTTCATAATTAAAACATCACATGCCTAGCATTTGGTTTTCATTAGTAAATTCATCTCTCTTGGGCTTCACATTGTGAAGGTAAGACTGAAAAAAACCCTTTCCTAATTCAGTAAATGTAATTAGGAAATGCATATATTTCAAAAGCTAAACCGAACATTTAAACATTAAACATGTATATAGAACATGAAACAGATTTTCACCCAAATGTACCCGTATATGGAAGATTCGGTCATTAGTTCTCTTGAATGTTTCCCATATTTCACAGACTTGTATGGCTTCTACACCTTGTGGGTCCTTTTATGAGAGTTAAAACCTTTTCCACACACCATACACTTATAAGGCTTCTCTCCTGTGTGGATCCTTTTATGGATATTAAGATAACTGTTCATAGAAAAACTCTTTCCACATTCCATGCATTTAAAAGGCTTCTCCCCGGTATGTATCCTACTATGGTAAATAAGTTGGCAGTTCTTAGTAAAGCTTCTTCCACACTCCATGCATTTATGTGGCTTTTCCCCTGTGTGGATCTTTTTATGGAAAATAAGGTCACCGCTCTTAGGGAAGCTCTTTCCACAATCAATGCATTTATAGGGCTTCTCTCCTGTGTGGATCCTTTTATGAACAGTAAGAGACGAATTTTCACAGAAGCTCTTTCCACACTTTGTGCACTTATATGGCTTTACCCCTGTATGGATCCAGTAATGGGAAGTAAGAGAAGTACTAAAAGTGAAGCTCTTTCCACACTCCATGCATTTATACGGCTTCTCTCCTGTGTGGATCCTTTTATGGGAAGACTACTGTTCTGAGTAAAGCTCTTCCCACACTCCATGCATTTATAGGGCTTCTCTCCTGTATGGATCCAGTAATGTGAAGTAAGAGAAGTACTAGAAGTGAAGCTCTTTCCACACTCCATGCATTTATACAGCTTCTCTCCTGCATGGATCCATTTATGTGTCCTAAGACGATTCTAAAAATAAAGCTCTTTCCACACTCCATGCATTTATAAGGCATTTCCCCTGTGTGGATCCTTTTATAGGAAGTAAGACTGTTTCTGTGAGTAATGCTCTTCCCGCACTCCATGCATTTATAGGAATTCTCTCCTGTATGGATCCAGTAGTGCGAAGTAAGAGAAGTACTAGAAGTGAAGCTCTTTCCACACTCCATGCATTTATACGGCTTCTCCCCGGTGTGGGTCCTTTTATGGATGTTAAGATAACTGTTCATAGAAAAACTCTTTCCACATTCCATGCATTTGTAAGGCTTCTCCCCCGTGTGGATCCTTGTATGTCACCTAAGATGAAGCCCCAGCCCTGAAGACATTGCCTTTGAAACTACTATTGTCTTATGCCTGGACTTTTCCTTTTTGTGCCCTGAGAATTACCCTTGTCTTATTCCTGGACTTTTGCCTTGCAGACTTGCCGGGTAACCTATGGGCTGTTGTTGTTGGGACTGAGGGTGGAGCCTTACTGATTGGTGGAGGGCCATTTGTTGAACCATTCCCAAGAGAAATAAAGAACTTCTAGAGCAGACATGTCAAACTCGTGACGTCACGTGACGCCGTGCAACATATCAGGATGGTTTTGCCATTGCCGGCAATGGGATGGGCGTCGTCCAGCCCGCGGGCCTGCAGTTTTGACACCCCTGGTCTAGAGGTTTCCATAACCGTGACCATCTGGGTCACAACAGTAATAACACTATTACTACTAATAATAATAATAGTTGGAAGGGACCTTGGAGGCCTTCTAGTCCAGCCTTCAGCTCTGGCAGAAAACCCTATACCAGACATGTCAAACACAAGGCCTGGGGGCCGGATGCAGCCCGCGAAGCCATCCTGGAAACAGTGAGGGAACAGCCCCTGCTGCCTTGGCCCTGGCCCAGGCCACTCGGGAGCCAATGTACAATTTTGTGGTGGGCATCCATGCTGAAACACATTCAGTCTTAGCTCCACAAGGCCGTCTAGAAACAGTGAGGAACCAGCCTTTGCCGTGTCGGCCCCGCCCCCTGGGTGTCACCCTTTGTGAGGAATGAAGAAATGGCCCATGCCTTGGCGCTTGCCCCGGTCCCACCCCCTTCTGCCAGAGACCCTCAGATCTGTCCCACTCCTACCCAGGCCCCCACAGGCACCCTTGACGAGAACAATGTAGAGCTGGCCATGCCCACCCAGTAGGGCACACCCACTCCATCCATGCCCAGCCAGTAGGCTGCACCCACCCTGGCCACCCCACCCCGAGGACAACCGCAATGCTGATGCGGCCCTCAATGAAATTGAGTTTGACACCCCTGCCATATACCATTTCAGACAAACAATTGTCCAGTCTCTTCTTATTGTTCTGTCAGGAAATTTCTCCTTAGTTCTAGGTTGCTTCTCTGATTAGTTTCCATGCATTGCAGTAGAATTTCAAGTAACTGGGATGTCTCTGGATCATGAATAAAAAGAAAAGTACAATGGCTTTCTAATTTTGTATGACTGCTACTCTGATTTCTATTTCTCTAATGAAAAATTTGGACAATAACTGACAGAAAACTGGAATTGGTGCATTTTCTCCATTTTGACAGAATCATCCAGGGGTAGTATTTGAATAATACTTCAAATGCTTCAACCCAACAGGAGCCTCTGAGACTGAATTTTGTGCCCCACCCAAACTCTCCCCAAAATTGCCTATTAGCAATTATTAGGGCTTTTATTATTATTGTACATTAAGCAGATGCGAAGACAGTATTTGTTTTTCCCACAAAAAACTTTTATTAGACATAACTCCCACTCCTTACTTGTAAAGTTAACTCTAAATTCACCTTGCTTATTTTACTCTTCCTATTACCACAGCTTTGTAACTATTTCTTCTTACTTTATCTATTTCTATCTCTGTCTTCTTTCTCTGTTTGTATATGAAAAGTCTTTTTGCTCCACTGTACATTTGTCAAGAGGTCCAAAGGTACTTTTTTGAAAAGCAACTGCACTATGTTCTTGGAGACGTTTTGCTTCTTATCCAAGAAGTATCTTCAATTCTGAAGATAGTTCTTCAGAACAGAAGATGCTTCTTGAATGAGAGGCAAAATGTCTTCAAGAAAATACAAGGAAGTCCAGTTGCCTTTTAAAAAATTACCTTTGGCACAACCATGACCTGGATGTCTGAGAATCTCCACAAGCATTTGTCAAGGGGCTTTCCTCTCCCCTCCCCATTAATCCTCTATTACTGGAGCTGCTTTGGAGAATTCTGTGCCATGGCAGGCTGTATGAAACGTGCTTCCCTGGATTTTCAGACAGGGATGTCTCATTCTTTTCTTGCGGTTCATCCAGCTTTCCCCGTCTGCAAAACACTCCAGAGAAAGGGGGGCAGGGGCTGCAGCTGTTGTATATAGAACCATTGATATACATTTTCATTTACATTAAATGTAGAGTTTTTCTTAGCCCTTATCTCACCACAGAAAGGTAAAATATCGTCTAATGCTCAGAAAGTCTTTTGAGCATACATTTCAGGGGCTTCTCATCATTCTGGCTCATTTTTGTGCGAGAGGAACTCTTCATCCTGAAATTAATATCTATATGATTATTCTCTCACATCATGATAGGATTTTTGACCAAAAAAAGTTCCCTGCTTCTGTATTCAAACTGGATGACTTAGGTCTCTGTTTTTCACACTGGACAGTTCCAGAGGAAGTTCACATTCTCATTTCTACTATAGAGGAAGAAAGATTTAAAGTTTTATCTTGAAGAGATGCATCAGGGAGATGCAGCTCCTTCTGCTTCTTGCGGAAGCAACACCTATTAATATCTGCCTGATCATATCCCTCACAGAGAAATCATTTTCCTGCTCAACACTGGGATACATTCTCAAGTGAGCCCCTTGATACACTGAGGTAGAGATTGTAAACCCAATGGGGTTTTTGTACCATTAAGTATAAGTTAGCAGATCTGATGTTACATTGTCACCAGACGTTTCCTTTTTGAACATTCTTATAATAGCTGGGGCCTTGCTGATTGGAGCTATTCCATTTAAACTTCCCAGTGCTTGCTATAAATGTGAGTGGGGAGGGGATTCAGCTCTAAAGGCAGTGGCCCGCGCGCCGTTTGTGCAAATTATATAACCAAAAATCAAACAGCAGCAGTACATTCAGGGCAAGTGCGTCTGTGATTCCTTGTATCTAAGAATGTCAAGCATAGTTCAGTGCAACACTTGTTTTGCAGCTGTCTTTCGCAGTACCCTTTTCAATCATGGAA